GCCGCTGTGTAGTTGTTTGACTACCTCAGCATTTTCTGCCCCCGAGATTGGACAGTCTATCCCCAGGTCTCCCGGCTCTGGTTCCTCCTCGGAATGTGCATAGGTGGGATTGAGGAGCTCCTCAAAGTATTCCTTCCACCGTCCAACAATAGCCTCAGTTGGCATCAGTAGCTCCCCATACCCACTGTAAACAGTGTGAGCGAGTTGCTGCCTTCCTCTCCTGAGGCGCCAGACAGTTTGCCAGAACCCCTTTGGAGCCAATCGATAGTCTTTCTCCATGGCCTCACCAAACTCCTCCCATGCCTGAGATTTTGCCTCGGCAACTGCCACTGCTGCACCCCGCTTGGCTATCCGGTACTTGTCTGCTTCCTCCGGAGACCCACAGACCAGCCACACCCTGTAGGCCTCCTTTTTCAGCCTGATGGCTCCCCGAACCTCTGGTGTCCACCAGCGGGTACGGGGGTTGCCACCACGACTGGCACCAGCCACCTTGCGACCACAGCTAGCAACAGCCGCCTTAACAATTGCAGAGTGGAACAAGGCCCACTCGGAGTCAATGTCCCCCACTGCTCTCGGGATGTGGTCAAAGCTCTGCCGGAGGTGGGAGTTGAAGACCGTCTTAACAGGTTCTTCTGCCAGGCGTTCCCAGCAGACCCTCACTATGCGTTTGGGTCTGCCAGGTCTACGAGGCATCTTCCCCTGCCATCTGATCCAACTCACCACCAGGTGGTGATCAGTTGACAGCTCCGCTCCTCTCTTCACTCGGGTGTCCAAAACATATGGCCGCAGGTCAGATGATAAGACTACAAAGTCTATCATCGACCTGCGACCTAGGCTGCCCTGGTACCAAGTGTACTGATGGGCACCCTTATGCTCGAACATGGTGTTCATTATGGCCAAACTGCGGCTTGCACAGAAGTCCAATAACGAAACACCACTCGAGTTCAGATCAGGCGGGCCGTTCCTCCCAATCACACACCTCCAGGTCAAGCTGTCATTGCCCACGTTCCCTGATGGAGTACTATCTAGCACTCATCCCAGGGACTCCAAAAAGGGTGGGTACTCTGAACTGATATTTGGCCCATAAGCACAAACAACAGTCAGGACCCGTTCCCCGACCCGAAGGCGCAGGGAAGTTACCCTCTTGTCCCCCGGGGTAAACCCCAACACACAGGCAGAGAGTCTTGGGGCTAACAAAAAGCCAACCCCAGCCCTCGCCTCTCACCCGGAGCAACTCCAGCAAAGGAGAGTGTCCAATCCCTCTCAAGGACTTGGGTTCCAGAGCCAATGCTATGTGTCGAGGTGAGTCCGACTATATCTATCCGGTACCGCTCAACCATTTTATATCATAAATTATAAATGACCTGCACTTGTCTTTGTCTTTATTTTGAACATGCGTACATACACATAGTAATACACACACCATAAGTAACTTCTCCTTTTGTTTATTTTTTTTAACACATGTTCAAAAGGGAGTAGGAAGAAGCATCAGCTTATTTACTCCCACCCCTTTCTCAACATCAAATAACTAATAGTTATTTAATGTTGTCTGGTAGTTTTTTTGGCAAATTACTTTGCAACATGTTCACACAAATGGCACATGGTTTATCAAGATCATATCATAAATACAAACATTTTGTGTTTAGGCACACACTTTTGGACCTTCTTCCTTGTATTTGGTAAACATCATGAGTTGAAGCCTTTTTTTAAACAGCATCATGTTTGGACATTGCTTCAATTCATCACTCATTCTGTTCCACAGTTTCACACCACACACAGACACGCTGAAAGTTTTTAATGTTGGTCGGACTCGAGCATGTTTGAATTTTAACTCCCCTCTTAACTGATACCTCCCCTCCCTTTTATGAAACAGTTTTATGTTGTCTGGAAGTAGTTTATTGTTTACTTTATACATTAGCTGTGCTGTTTTAAACTGAACTACCTCTGGAAATTTTAAGATTTGTGATTTTAAAAATGAGTGTGTATGATCTCTGTAACCAGTGTTATGAATGATCCTTAGAGCCCTTTTTTGTAACACAGATAATGATGATAATGCACATTTATAGGTGTTTCCCCAAACCTCTGTACAGTAATTTAAATATGTGGAAATAAGTGAACAGTATAGAACGTGGAGTGACTTTTGATCCTGAATGTGTTTGACTTAATTTAATATTGAGATGCTTCTTGAGATTTTATTGCTTATATGTTTAATGTGAGCTACCCTCTTGTCCCCCGGGGTAAACCCCAACACACAGGCAGAGAGACTTGGGACTACTACTATTGTCTATTATTACACCAAGAAATCTGATCTTCTTCACTATTTCAATTCTCACACCATCAATTTGGATTTGTTCTTGTAAATTTAGGCTGCTGTTCCCAAACAACATGATTTTAGTTTTATTCAAGTTTAGGGATAATTTATTCCATTCAAACCATTTTTTTATTTTTTGTAGTTCTGAGTTGAGCATATGTAGGAGTTCCTTGAAATTATCCCCAGAACAGAAAATATTTGTATCATCTGCAAATAAAATTTACTTTAATGATTGTGACCCCTTGCAGATGTCATTAATATAAAGCATGAAGAGTTTGGGACCAAGCACTGACCCCTGGGGAACATCACAAACAATGTCCAAGCATGATGAGTTGATTCAGTCCAACTTCACAAACTGCTTCCTGTCGGTCAAATAATTCCTGATCCAGTCTAGTGCCACCCCCCTAATTCCATAGCGTTCCAGTTTATTTAGTAGGATGTTATGATTTTTATGATTGATTGTGTCAAATGCTTTTTTTAGATCTATGAATACTACTACTGCACTCTCTTTCTGATCTATAGCATTTGTAATGTGATCTAGTGTTTGAATTAGTGCCAGTGATGTTGAACAATTAGCTCTAAATCTATACTGACTGTTAGTAAGTAGCTTATGTTTTTCTAAAAGTTTATCTAGGCGGTAAGTAAACAGTTTTTCTAGTATCCTGGCAAATTAAGGAAGTAAGGAAACAGGTCTGTAGTCTGTGAAGTGATGTTTATCCCCACTTTTATACAGTGGTGCAACTTTCGCTATTTTCATGAAGTTAGGAAATTTACCGGTCTGGAATGATAAGTTGCAGATGTAAGTTACTTGTAGAGTGCCTTTCAGAGTCAGAGGACTTCAAAGCACTTTACACTACAGGGTGTCATTCATCCATTCACACACGCACTCACACACTGATGGTGATGAGCTACGATGTAGCCACAGCTGCCCTGGGGCGCACTGACAGAAGCAAGGCAGTCGAGCACAGGCGCCACCGGTCCCTCTGACCGCCATCATCATGTGAATCGGTCCACAGTCGGTACCATGGCATTTGGTTTGTTCCTTAAAAAGTACCTAACTCGTTACCTATCCCTAGGTCTGACTCAAGCCGAAGGGGGCTGACGGACAGCGGTGAAGTATTAAATAAAAACTAAGTGAGCAGGCTTAATGAAAAATGGCTGAGGTTGTGCTATGAGGCTCGTAGAAGTAATTTAACCACAGTTTCAGGTTAGGGACACAAATGAAAAAGACAAGAAAAGACATTTTAAACAGAATCCGATTCAGATGGAACGTCTAAAGGGACAGAGGAGAAAATACGTTTAGATATTGTGCAAAAGAAAAGATTCAGTGTGCAAATGGTGAATAATCTCTGTTTCTCCAAGCTGAGGCCATTTAAACAGATATCAACCACAAGCAGGATCATAAACTTTCACTGTCACTGTCGACTGGATCAGTGGGTTGGGACGACTGGTTAGGGACGTGAAAACAACGCGAGCGTTCATTTGAGCAGCTAATAAATGATGTCATCTCGGAAAAATCCCTGCAGATTTTTTTGTGTCACAAAATGTCTTAATTAGGGTTTCATTTGTTTGCAATTCATCCTCATTAGTGAGTGATTTAGACTCCATATGTCATACCTAGCATTAGCTGTTGGTAATAATAATTAACAATAACTAGTTCATGCCAGTTCAAAGGCTCAACAAGCAGTAGGTTATTTAAGGACGAGCAGCTACGTTCAATTATGATTAATATATTTCTAGATTACGGACTTTATCGAATGAGGCAGATTTCTCACATTATTTACTTCCCTGCTGGTGAACAGTTCAGTTTAGCGCTACTATGTGTTGGTCAAATATGAGCCCAGAGGCACTTCATAGAGCACAGAAAATGGTGTTAAGTTAGGCTGGAACACCTTGTGTTTGCCTTGGCGACACACTGCAGTGTGTGATTTAAACAAAAGGAGCAGAACACACACCGTTCACGGTCATCTGATTATCTTACACTACACACAACAGCTGGAGGGCACCTAAACAGCTTCTGCTCAGGTCTTCTCACACCGATGGTTTGTCACAAACAGTGTTTTTTGATGTTAAAATGACACACACTTTCAGGCAAAACTACTTTGTATGCAGTCCTGCCTTGAAGTCTGCATCTTTCTCCACCGAGAATCATTTGCCTCCAATCTTTAACCGAGAAGCGCCACCGCCCCTGCATCTCAGCTCTTTTCCTTTCATTAATCTCCAGAGCTCGCTGCTTTCTTCCGACACCACACACTTTTTCTTAGGAAGTGGGTACAGGGCTATTCGGCATTTCTACAGTAGTGTTGTCCAGGCTGCTGCCTTTTCATTATGAAGCTGTTGTTGCACACAGTAAACCTCTCAGGATTCGGGGGCTGTCGGCTTGACCTAATTATGTGTGAGGGTGGCACTGGGCGGTGTGTGTTTTTGTAATAGAGAGAGAGCGAAACCGCAGAAGGAGTCAAGGAAAGCCAAACGGACTGGGAGACATGGAGACTGACACATTATTTTCTGGTGTAAAGTATTATTTCTCCAGAGTGTTCACATGAAACTCTCATGGCAGTGGGACTAATCTCTGATGAAATGAACTAAGCTGTGATTGCAACTTCTGTTACTTCCTGTGTTACTCAAGCCACCATTACAACCATCTAATGACCATTTATGCTTCAGCTGGTGTGTGTTGCCTGCTCACAGAGACTCGGTGGCCACCACCCTCTGAGCCAGACCATACAGCGTCCCGCTGTTGGTGAGGACCACCAGCTGGCTGAGATGAGGACTTGGCACCTTCTCCTTCCTGTCTTCTGCCGAGCCATGGACTCCTGAGTTTTCCCCTAAAGAGTCCTGAAAACAAACCAAAACAAAAGTCAGAGAAATGGAGCGAACAGCAAAGAAAATCTGGATTTCATTTTGTTATGCAGCCTAGACTCCTCAGGAAACATATTTATTAGTCCTAATTCACAGCAGCATTTTGACTTACAGCTGAGGGCAAATCACAGGTGTCTTAGAGAAGGCTGATCCCAGTTTCTCCTCGATGTTCCCCAAACTAGATTTAATCATTGGGGTGATCGGGCTCTGGAACCAGCTCCTTTTGGATTTACGCATCACTGTCCTCAGCCATGTCAAACGTTTTAGTTCAGGATGGCTTTTAACACTTAGTAGCATTGTGTCATTCTATTTATTTCTCACTTTATTATTGATTCTGTCTGTTCTTTGTTTTAATTTTGAAAAGCACTTTGGTGATGTGTTTGTCTAGTCGATAAAGTTTTATGTCGATCAGAATGGATATAGAGCGTAAAGTCGGTAAAGACGGCTCTCTCTTACCATGCCTCCATCTAAAGGGCTAGGTTATCCAGAGTTATCGCTGCAGTTATGCTGCTATAGGCTGAGGGCCGTGCTCTTTGTCTTTGCATTGGCGCAGGCAGCAGGCTGTGTCTTTGTTCACATACTTGCTGCTGCACTGCACATAGTACTGGGGTTTTCCACTAGGTGGCACACTAGACTACTCAGACCGGAGAGAGAGCCGGGGTTGGGGGTACAACCAAATCAAACATGGTGTCAATAGGACAGCAGTAACGGTTAATTTTGAGTTCATGACAGAAAGGAGACGGCAGCGGTATCATAGATGGTGGAAAAGACCTCTGAACCTGACGGAGTCTCCATGGTGTGTGTGTCTCGCTCATTTTGTCGACTTCACCTACTGGTTACTTGTATATTGCAGCGTTCGGATGTGTTGCAATAATTCCGGGGGACGTGCACAAACGACGCTTCAAATCAATGCAAATAAGACGTGGCAGTAGGGCTGAACGATTTAAGGAAAAGATAGAATTGCAATTTTTCCAGCAGAAATTGCGATTCCGGTTCAATTCATGATTTTCTGCAAACAACGATCCAACATTAGCCTGCCAAGCCATCCTGTGGATTAAGTGAAAAGACGGTCTAGAATCTAATCTAGTACAACAAAACATTCACATTAATATTTACTATTTAATCATACAATAAAAACAGTTAAAGCTATTAATATTTTCTCTAATTTTTATCTTTTTTTATTTTTTAATGTCTAGAGAGGAGCTTTATAAAAACATGTTCCACTCCAAAAATGCATGGAAAAAATCTGTAGGTAGAAATAGCTTTTAAATGTATTAAATAACAAAAAATGCTCACAGTTTTCCCTGCAATACCAAGGCAGGCTGGCTGCACGTTTTCGAAGCCGTCTGATCATTTTTCCTCACTAACCTCAGTTCCGTTAGAGAGATGCACGCATTTTGACACCTTAGCTTGTTTGAACTAACGTGTGCCATCAGAAACATTCAAACCATTTTTAAAAGAGAAGTTGAGTTTTCAAGTCAACTAAAGTGCACGACTCCACACTCGCGCTGACGAAGCGTAAACCAAGCTTTAGAAATCAGCCTGAACCTGCTCCGATGTGGGAGGAGTCTCTCTCTCCCTCACTCAACTACATTCTCTCTCTCTCTGTCCCGGGCTCACCTACGGTGCCATTATTATCGGCTCTAGCAGCGCTGTGTGTGGGGACATAAAACAGGGAAAATAACCTGAACATGCAGCTCTGTCAGCTGTGGAGTTGGGTTAAACTCTGGACGGTACACCCCACCCCCTCCCCCGCGCTGGCTTTTGCCGCCGCTATAACACCCCGCTAAAACCCCGTATGTAAAAAAAAGTTACACAACTGATCCTGGATCAGTCAAAACCGCTAAAACCGCAGCTCTGACGGTCACATGCTACTACTAGTTTACCTGTTGAATTGATTACAGATTCCAGCTCAGTGGCCTTCTGGTATGAGTGTCCGCCCTGGGACTGGGAGATCGGTGTTCAAATCTCGGTTGGGTCATACCAAAGACTTAGATAAAATGGGACCCAATGCCTCCCTGCTTGATACTCAGCATTAAGGGGCTGGATTGGGGGGGTTAAACCAGCAAATGGTTTCCAAGCGCGGCCACAGCTGCAGCTCACCGCTCCCCCAGGGATGGGTCAAATGCGGAGAACGAATTTCACACACACCGGTGTGTGTGACAGCTAGTGGGACTGTAACTGACTGTAACTGTAAGATTCATTCAGATAAAGATCCGATCAAAGCGTAAGTCTAGGGGTGATCGTGCCTACACAGTTCCGGGTCCTCGGCTTTGGAACCAACTCCCACAAGAAATCAAGCCGTCCACATTGCTGCCCACTTTAAAAGCAAGGCTTAAGCTGTATTTTAGATTTGTTTCTTAGTTGTTTTTAGTCACATTTTAATGTTTTGATCACTATTCTTTTATTGTTTTCAGCTCTTATTTTTTGTTTTTAATTTTTTTTATCTCTATATTTTATTATAGAGCTGTTTTATTGTGCTGCTTCATTGCACTATGTTCAGCACCTTGGGTCCCCTTGATTGGGGGTGGGAAGGGGCTTTATAAATAAAATGACAAAGACAGAGACAGACAGACAGACAGACAGACAGACAGACAGACAGACAGACAGACAGACAGACAGACAGACAGACAGACAGACAGACAGACAGACAGACAGACAGACAGACAGACAGACAGACAGACAGACAGACAGATAGATAGATAGATAGATAGATAGATAGATAGATAGATAGATAGATAGATAGATAGATAGATAGATAGATAGATAGATAGATAGATAGATAGATAGATAGATAGATAGATAGATAGATAGATAGATAGATAGATAGATAGATAGATAGATAGATGATAGACTGACTGAACCAACTGCAGATGAGCGACTGTTTTGAAAAACTAATCTCAACTTGAAGTGAATTATTGTGAATAAACTTTTTGTAAAACATCTAAACTTCATTTCTCTTGATTTATCTGAATAAATCTCTCTGTTGAGCATCCTCTCAAATGGAATAACAAGCAAAACAAGAATTAAACCTAATCCCACCAATCACATTACTCTGGATTTACATAAAACCCATCAGGATTCCACAGGAAGGCAGATCATCAAAATGTTTTAGTGTAAAAGAGAAATATAAAGCCTTATGATGCCATAACGTACCATATTAGTACGCTGAGCCTCCACACTTCTGCTGCAAAGCCTTCCAAAACCACCTCAGGCAGATCAATAGCAATCATGCAGGTAATGAACAAAAGGACCTTTTAATGCTGTACCATAACATCCATTTACATGCTGCTGTTCCGAACAATCATGGTCTAATTCTGGCTTTCAGAATGAACATTTTCTTCTCTCTCACACTAGCTGCTTTTATAATTGAGACAGAATTCAACTCCAAAGCAGAGGAGGCATGCTTTAGAATAGAGCTGCTGTTGAAAATCTAATGTCAACATAAACGACTACATGATTCTTTAAAATAACACCGAACACCTGAGAGAAGCATGTGTCCTCATCCCAACCCTGAAGATGTGATGGAAGATGCAAATAGGGAGATGACACTGCACCATAAAACGGGTTCCTGCCAGTCTCACAACAACCTTTTTCACAAAACAAAGTAGAAGTCCTGCAAACACACCAAAGATTCACAATGCGCAGCTTCAAAAAGGCATTTATAGTCCAGACTGGTTCCTGTCGGCTCGTATTTGACAGCTGGACCTTTCCAGATCCTCCAGCTCATTTCTCTGCATTCATCCATCCTTTGGGTTTTGCTGAAAACACAATCAACTTAGTAACTCATTTTTAAGATTTACACTTGGAGAGTTTAAACATATTTCCCTTTAGAATGAGGCTGAGCTGCACCTGCACTTTGCTGTGAAGTCAGCAGATCGGCAGAGAAACGACAATAATTCTGAACTCAGGGGAAAAGTAGAACAAACACAGGTACGAGCTAAAGATGAAATACAGCTGAAATTAATTCATTTCATTAACAGAGTACAGATATTTTAGGGTTTTGGTTGAAGGTCTGGTTTATTAAAGACATTTTTCTAGGTCTTTCTCTGCAGCAGGTTGAACTTTAACCGTCATCATTTATTAAAACTGTTCTTTGGATGGAAAAAAAAAGACTCATTCTAGTTCACTTCACACAAACACTTTAGAAAGAGAAGAAAACCAACACATTCATGAAAAGTTTGCAGTTTTGTGTTAGTCTGCCAACATTTATGCTTCATTTTCACCTGCTGTCATGACATAAAATAATGCTCTGAGCTAACCATAAACTCTATAAATCCACTCCATACAAATATGTATCTGTCATCTAGGTTACCAAATACTATAAAAGATAAAAGCCACTAAAAGATGGTTTATCCACAGACCTCTGTCCTATCGTAGGAGATAAACATGACTAATGCGCTGTTGTAATGGCGTTAATCCAGAAAAGCCATTAGTACATATTTCTCATAAAAATGAGCTAGGATTTTGGAACAAGAACAGAAACTTCAGGTTTATTAGTTTGGAGTAGTGATGTGTCGGTCGCGAACGAACCGGCTCTAAGAGCCGGCTCTTTGAAGAGAACGACGGGAGACTGTCCACACACAGACCAGTAGGGGAAGGGAAGAGGGAGGATCAGACTCAGACACACAGCAGAGCGCATGCGGGCGGAGGGAGACGAGAGGGAATGAGGAGGAGGAAAAAGGCGAGCGAGAGTGAGGAGAGTACGACGAAGACGGTGAGAAAATGAGCGAAGCAATCGGAAAGTGGAGATTTCTTAAAGTGTTCAGTTAATAAATCCATAGAAATGAAAAATATTTGATATATAGCTTTTTTTTTTACATTAGTAAATAATTTTACACAAAGTTTTGCATTATTTTGATCATAAATGTACTCTATGCAACAGAAAATCTGAAGAGCCACTTGGGAGCCGAAAGAGCCGGCTCTTTTTGGTGAGCTGAGCCTAAAGAACCGGCTCTCTAAAAAGAGCCGGAATT